CTGTCGAAGGTTTTGTTGTGTCGTATTTCGCACCAAAGTGAGTGACTTTATTGCTTCCAAATATCCATAAATTTTTTCTTACGAAGCTGCTAACCACCTTTATTGTTTTTTTATTATTTTTTTTACTATTTTTTTTATCATTAGAATGAGTTTCATTAAATTTTATTCACAGAGCTGCAAGTTTTTTTATTATTTCTTACTATTCTTTTCTGTTTTTAAAAAAATAAAATAGTACAAAAAATCTTTTATTACAAATGTGTTTGGAAAATGCGATATATGGACTTAGACGTTGGAAAAAGGAATGGCTTCTCGTACTGTCAGCGGTGGCGACGGTCGAACCGAACAGCTTGAAGACACCTTACCCTTGTAGCCAGCGCAGCCAGCCTAACCAGAAATGGTGAGAGCTGTTAGACGAAGAAGAGGATTAGGAAATGAAATAATGAATAATAAAATGGTGAATTCTAACGGCACTCATCATTTTTGGTTTGGTTGGTGGTATGGCTGCACTAACGATTAGTTTCTGAGATGCCTTCTCTAGAGATGAGTTGGAGTGCTGGTGGATCTCAAATATTGTCCGCATTTTATTTTTAATGGCCAGGAGTGCCAGGAATTAAGAAGTAGAGATGGAGCTTATGACTCACCGCATGAACGATGCTTACCTTTCTGCCGTTCTATCTTTGGTAAACATACCAGAGAACAGGTCGGTGAGAGGATCGCTTATAAGCAGTGATGATAGGACAAAAAGATGATAGATTGAATGGATGATGACAGATAAGCTGGCAAGAGAATATTTCATTTTTATTTTTTGATTAATTTTTCAGTAGCAAAAAATTTAAATGAACTTTTTTTTGCTTCATAAATTTTATAATTTTCTTATTTTTTCTAAATAAATAAATTTTAATCAATCTTTTAGTGAATTTTTAATTTCTTTTAATTTAGTCATTGTATAGTCATTTATTTCCTTCTTAAATTTTAATTTTCAAATTTAATTTTATTATAGAATTATAGAAATTAGTCAAACGATTATTTGCTATATAATATTGAAGAATCGATTTTAAAAATGAATATATTTCGTCTTTGCGGCGATTCATCGCATTTAATTGCAATCGTTATACTTCTTGCGAAAATATGGAAGACTCGTTCGTGTGCTGGTTAGTTTTTATTTTAATTTTTAATTTTTTTAATAATTAATGAAACTGAATAATCGAAATTTTTTATAATTACGCATTATTCTTATTTATTCATTTATTTTTCTCACATATATTCTTTTTATTTAATATCTTATAATTTGTTTCTTTATAAATATTTGTCCATAAAATATTTTTAATAAATATTTTTGTTAAAATAAAAATGAAATAATCTCAGTGAATTTTAATCGATTGTTTTGACTGAATTTTATTTATTTACCATATGTTTTTTCAATTAAGACAAGAAATTTTTTTGCAGAAATTTTTTTTTTAGGTATTTCGGGATATTCGCAAATTTTATTCGCTCTTGTCTTTAGTTCTCGCTATTTGGATTTGTTTTTCAGCTTTATTTCTTATTATAATTCGGCTATGAAAGTATGTTTTTATATTACCAAATTTCATGTGGAATGGGATTTTTGATTTTTTAATGAAACCAGCTTGCAGATTTTCTTCCTAATTTCATCATACGGAACATTGTACCTAATGTTCGTAAAATTCAAGTCAACATATGACAGGTAAGGAAAATTTTTATTTTTTGGCTCGATTATACAGGTAAGGAAAATTTTTATTTTTTGGCTCGATTATATGTCAGTTAAAAATCTTATTTTTGGTGCTTGATATTTTCTTCTTCTTCTAATAGCTCTCACCATTACTGTAACAGCTATAAGGGTAACGCTTCCAAACGCCGCGGTTTGATGCCATCGTCGACAGTAATAGAAGCCATTTCTTTTTCCACCGTCTAAGTCCATATATGCTGGTCCACCTTACGTTGAAAGTCTTTTCTGACCGTATCGGTCATCGGTCTTGATTACCTCATCTCGCTTTCATCCCATCCATCCCACGAGGTTTAACAAGGTTTAACAAGTAATGAAATATACGTCAACTCTTGTGGTGGACGATGGAGAACGTGCTCTAACCAGCGAAGTCGATGCTCTATAATAACATTATTAATGCAAGTGGTATTTGAACGAAGATGGATGCGATCATGTGATATTTTATCTGCTCGATGGACCCGTGAAATATACCTTAGATAAAAGTGGTCAAAGGCAGATAACTTTTCAATATCCTCCATTCGCATTGGCAATATTTCTCGACGGCTCTATAAAGGTTTCGTCAACCCGGAGCACTAGCTGCCATGATCGGGGTTGTAATATCGTCTTTTGCCTAGCCATTTGGTGTTAAAGTGGACCCAAGGTATTTAAAATCGAGCACTGCCGATAATGGATTTATAAAAAGAGGCATTTTATCAGCTTCTTGCGCATATGACAAAAAACAACTTTTATTTTATTTACATTGACCCTGAGTCCGATTATCGCTGCAGTCTCTGACACATTATTTAGCATTATTTGCATTTGCATTTCGTCACAGTTGTCAGCAAATAGGACTACATCGTTAACGTATTCAGATCTGTGATAAGATACTATGGACTGATTTGGACATCTCATCAATGCTATCAAGCGATGTCTATTATCCACTCTATCGCATAGTTAAATATTGTAGGGGAAAGGACAAAGGACACAACCTTGACTGACACCAATCTTATTTCGAAGGAGTCTCTCTGTTTCCCATATTCACATATCTGCGCCAAATGTACGCCCATAAAATACCTTTTGTGAGTCTGATGATCTTCTCTGGAACACCGTTGCGTACCATCACCCTCCAAAGTGCCGCTCGATCAATTGAATCAAAGGTAGCCGCAAAGTCGATGAAACACGTGATAGTGGGTTGCAAATAGCTAAAGCGATGTTCCAACACTTTTCTTATTAATGTGAGTCAGCACAACCGCGTCTCGGTCTTCTTAATCCAGTTTGATTAGAGCGCATCCTGCTGTCCCATGCTTCTATAAATCTATTGAGTAAAAGCAAAAATTTTCACTGAGATTACTAGTAGGCTGATTCTTCTATAATTGTCGCAATATTTCCTATTATCTTTCTTGAGAATTGGGAGCAGATTTGCGTTACTCCAATTATCTGGTAATGTTTCTTTTTTTCATACTAGAGAACACATTTGTTGAGGGTGCGGATGAAGGACGATGGACAATATTTGAAGAATCCAGCCTGAAGATCATCTTCTCCCAGAGCCTTATTGAACTTAAGTTTATGGATAACGGAGATTATTTTTTCTTTTCTTGGAGACTCGTAACTGCAAGCGTATGGTTCGGCGAACGTATCAGCTGTATCAGAAGCAACAGATGGCACTTCATGGCTAAATTTAGCATCAAAGAATTCTTTCCATCTTATGAGGCAGTCCTTAATATTCTTGATCGGCACGCCATTGTTGTCCCTTACCATTTTATTAACCAAGTCAAGTCATAGTTTCTTTATGAAGGCGGAAAGCTTCCGAAAGGTGTTTTCTACGATGCCAAAAGCATGTATTATTAGTAACAAAGAATTCATGCTCCTATTATCGCCTAATCGAGCCGCCGTCTCCATTCTCAAGACCTTTTCACTATAATAATGATTTCTGTTCCGCCGAGCTGCTTTCGTTAAAAAATATTCGACGCATCCGGTAGTCAGAATCACCTGACATTGGTAGCTTTTTCAGAAAGTTGGACAGTTGTCTTCAGTACCCAACTAGCACATATGCAGATCTTGGCTTGGACCAGAACATGATCCACGAAGATTGCCTGTTTCAGCGCCGCGATATCTAGTACGGAATTCTTCCAGCTTCGACTGATTAATTAATCTGGTTGAAGTGTTGGTTATCCGGGGAATTCCACGTGATTAGGTGTTTTCTACCATGGCAAAAGCATGTATTATTAGTAACAAAGAATTCATGCTCCTCTGCAAAACGAAGAAGGCGTGGGGCGCATCCTCTATTGGCGCACCGGTCTCCGATGTCATATTTGCCAATTGTCGAAGTCATCGCAGTGGCATTATGACCTACGCGTGCATTCTAGTCTCCTCCGACTATAACCATGTCATCTTTTGGTAGAGACTTTGTTCGCAGTTGAAATTCATCATAGATCTTATCTTTATCACGGTTATCTGCGACAGAGTTGGAGCATCGATACTAATATTGCAGTACTCATCCTTAAAACGTGCATATGCCACACGGCCGCTTACCGGTTTCCACTCAGTCAAAACGGAATTGGTCTTGTCAGTCAGTCGCTAAGACATTTCGCCTCGAGTCATCCGATGCACCACCGTGATATAACCAGTATATCTGCTCCAAGCCAGGATTAATAATTACTCGAGATCGATGTGAGGAACATTACTCGACGCACTTCCGACAAGCAAGCGATATCCACACGATATTTAGAAAGGGTGTGGAGAGTGATCACTGCATATGCAATATTCATAAGCGTTGTGACGTTCCACGCTGATAAGGCTAATATCTCGTCACGCGTGCCGAGAGCTGTTTCCCTTGATAGGTTCCAGGCAGTTCCGTAGCTTGCGACCGCATTTTATTTATGAGCCTTGGGATCGCTTTAGGCCCAGTTATCGTATGTACCACCGTGTTGGGAGTATTATGCTCGAAAGACGCGGACGCCGTATCAAGGATATCTGACCCTTTCACCATAGAGTCATTCGGGGATAGAGTTACAGGTGAGTCTCCAGCGACCATCCGAATTTTTGGCAGACAGGTTCATTCTGTCAAAGACAGACATAAACATTTTATAATATTATATATATATTTTAATTTTTTTCAATTCTTTTTTTAAATTTAGAAAAAAAAGAAAAAACTTAGTTCGTAATTTCTAGAAAATTCTAGAAAAAATATTCTGATATATATTTTTATATTTTTTGATATTTGTAATTTTTCATAAAAAATTCATAAGTGAAATTTTTCAGAGAAAATGATGTGTTGCGCATGGAAATTTTGATTTTTCCATCTTTGATTCTAGCGCTGCTTATTAATCACAGTTTCACTATTGTTGAGGTAATTTATTCATTTTTTAAAATCTCACTTAGACTATTGGAATTTCATTTTATCATGTAAGAGATGCTTTCTGCTACTATTTCTTTTGATTTTTGGATCTATATATCCAAACAATTTTTAATTTTTTTTTCCAAATTTTAAATTTTGTTTGATTTTGATTTTATCATCTTTTCACTTGAATTTCTGTACTGTAGATTATTAGGTTAAATTGTTATAGATATGTTGGACGTTTTCCATTTATCTTGAATCTGTTGCAATCATGCCTCAGTTATTCATGTTATCACGGACAGGTAGTGCTGAAACAATTACTGCCCATTATCTTTTTGCTCTAGGAATTTATCGTGGTTTTTACATTCTCAACTGGATCTATCGTTACTATACTGAAATGTTTTACGATCCCATAGCCATCGTCGCAGGAGTAATACAAACTGTGCTTTATGCCGATTTCTTCTATCTGTATTTCACACGAGGTAATATTTGAAGAACTTGTTTTTGTTCATAAGTGCGTTTCATAAAGGAAAGTCGTTTTCGTTTTAATAAGGTGCATTGAATTGAAGAGTAAAATCACGGCTATATTTAAAAATCACGAAAAAAAGAACCGTAAAAACGCTTTAATTTATAGGATTATTTTATAATCATAACGAATAATTATTTGGATATTCAATAAATCTAGAACATAAAGTTTAAAATATTTGAATATAGAATGCTGTTCTTTGATTTTCAAAATTTAAAAGATGTAATGCAGTGAATAATCTTGATATTTCAGTTATACGGCAACAAAAAAATCTTGCTCTTCCCATCTAAAAGTGTTTTATGGCAAGGTTTTAAATAAATATATCAAATTCAAAGGAATTTTTTTTGTTGATTTACCATCCATCATGAACTGTTCAGTTTTCATGGATTTATGATTTTTTAGCTTTCTCGGTGATGTCCAGTTAAAAAGTTTTTAATTAAATTTCAAACTCGAATTTATGTTCTATCAGTTGGATTGATTTGTTGTCTTTCAATTTTTCCGTATTGATCCCACATTCATGCAAATATTTTTTCGTCCAATAGTATATAAAATAGAATGTTAGAAGAAGAAGATGCATATTCAGAAAAAAATAGGAAACTTTTGAAATATAAATTTGAAATAAATATTTTTTTATTTTGAAGGTAGGGATTTTGCATGGGGAGTGAAATGGTTAGAATGGTCCCTTCATGAATTTATCTCATTAAAAGCAGTTTTTCCAAAGAAAAAAATATTTTTTTTTAATATTCGATTGTGAGACCATTTAATGTTGATTTTAATTTAAATTTTTTATTTTTCAATTTTATTCGACTAGAATACTTTACAGTATTTCATAATATTTTATACTCTTATGTTTTATAATGAACTATTTTGCATATACAGCATATAACCAAATTTGAAGAGAGCAATTTAACCCGTTGCTTGTATCTAAAAAATTTGAAATTAATTTGTTTAGAAAAATTTGAAGTAATAGTGAGAAGCGAAAATTTTGCTTCTCAATATTTGTTCCATAAGAAGCATAAAAGTTTTTTGCTGGTGGAATGGGAATAGAATGGGAAACGAACGGCGTAGTGCTCTTTTTTTCTAATAATTTTTTTGTTAAAAATTAAAAATATATTAAAAATTGTTAAAACATCTAACTATTTGTTTATTTCGGGATTTTTTTGCTAAGATTTTTTTGTTCGGAAAAATTTTTCTTTTATATTTAATCTTTAAATGCTGGGTTTTTTAAAATTTATTTCTTCAAAAATGCTCCTCCTGTTTGTTTTCAAAAATGGATTGTCATTTTAGAATAATTTGAACGTGAATGTGGTGTTCACTTTCTGTGATTTTTTAGTTGTTGGATTCGTCTTTTTTTTCGAATAAAATTATTTTTTCGACTTTTACAAGTTTTTTATCGTTTATTATTTTAAATTTTCGAATTTTTAAATAAATGCGGTGATCACTTAGAAATATTAGACGGTCGAAGATACAAAATACGTTTTAGTGATATCAGAATTAGTTTTTTAGAATAAAAATTTGATTGGTCTGATGATTTGAATAATAGGTAAAAATTATTTATAGGTATGAATTTGTTGGCTGTATTAATTAGAGAAATTCGTTTTTCGATGGAAAACTATTCAAGCAAAACTTCGTGCAACGAATAGTACAAATGGATTTATTAAAGCTTTGAAATCGAACGAAAGATTCAAACGTGAAGCATAAACTAATTTTTATTTGAATTAACGATAAAATAGAATTTTTATTTTTGTTTACAATAATGTTTATAATATTAAATTATCATTTATACGAAATTATTCGCTACTAAAAATATAAATTTTTTTTTCCAAATTTTTCTTTTCACATTTTGAAATTTTTAGTCTTTCATCGTTTTTATTGGAAGATTTTATTCATTCATTCACAATAAAACGAATAATTAGCAAATTACATGCAAATAGAAATTTTATTGACGACTTCAATTATATGTTACATGTTTACTTCGAAAATTGTAGGACGTTTAATTTCTTCATGAAGTTTTATTACAACAAACACTGTCATTTTCGAACGAGGATATAATTATTTGCTTGCAAAGAAATAATCGCATCGAGGGGGATTAGTCGCAAAAATAAAATATTGAAAGACTAAGCGCTTTGGAGGATTTTTAGAGGTTTAGAGGTTAGAATTAAAAAGAATTCTACGGTGGTCGAGTGGCATATTTCTTCAACACGGGCATGTCAGGCATCGTCGATTGCTAAACTACATTTTGCATTTTGCCCCTGAATGAAGTTCCGTCTGGCGGAGAAGCTCCATCGTAAGTAGTCAGTGCAGCGAACGAAATCAAAAATGACGAGTTTCTTCGATGAAGTAAGTTTGAATAAGATAATGATTATCACACTTCTTAGGCAATCACGTATTGGATTGCCGGTAAAAATTGAAGAATTGAAATTTGAGGGAGGTTTTATATCGCTGTAAGTTTAAACGGTGGTGAATACGATAATGATGATTTAATAATTTAAAGCTGACGAATAAAATTTATGCAAAATTTATGTCTAATTAAATCTCATCTTTAATAGTTTTTTGCTGCGGTATAAATGCAAATGTTCAAGAAAAATCTAAGAATTCAGAATGAAAAAAATAATTTTTTTTTGTACTCTGAAATTAGTTTGCAGAAAAGCAAAGCAAAATTATTGCTTCTCTTTTTTATAAAAATAAATCCTTCAAAAAAATGAGAATTTTCGAATTTCTGCTAATTTCTGTTTCTATGATTTCACCCGCCATTCCCAATAATCATTAATTATTTATGAAATTTTTCATTTATATTAATTTTCATGCCGAATTATTTTTTAGCATTTTTTAAATGATATCATAATCATCTACGTAAATTCATTTTTTTATTTCTTTAAACAAATTCATGCGGCTGAATTAAATGGATTTCATTTATATTTTTATCAATTTTACATTATTTATAAGCCTTTGAATTTCTCGAATTTTTTTTCATCATATTTTTGCAAGTAAAAAGGATTGCTTTTTTGATTTCCCAGGATTTCAATTCTCGACGAAGCAACATTCGCGATTAACGAATTCTCGACGAAGCAACATTCGCGATTAACGAATTCTCGACGAAGCAATACTCGCGATGAGCCAATTTTCGATTTTTTTTTTAATCGAGATTTTCAGAAAATTAAAAAAATTCATTTGCATCGATAATAACTATGATTTCATTTTTGCTTGAAAAAATTTGAAAAAAAAATAGAGCGTTATTGAAAAATTATTATTTAGTAAAATAGCGCTGTTTATGGAAATTTGGAAAACCACATTAGCTTAATTTTGATGCGATGAAATCTTTCGTTTATCCTATACGCTTAAAAAAAATTCAGCTTTTACAAATCTATGTATTCCTGAAAATGAACGAGCATTATGAGCTATTGCCATAGGGCGAAAACTCTTTGTTATGCTTGTAATTTAAGAAATTGGCGGAGAATTAAAAAATTAATATTATATTAATAAAGAATACGAGTGAGCTGCACATGAAAGTCTTTAAAAACGACCAAATTCAAATGAGCGAAATTATTATTGGCTTCGTTTGAAATCTCGAAATATGCCAAAGAATGATGAAAAATCAGCGAAAAAACTTTCTTTCTTTTCAAACACACTGTTTAGAATGTTGAATAAATCTAAAAGGCATGGCAAATATTTATAAATATTAGCCTTTTCGAGTTCTTCCTTGTGCCGGACAAAGCTTCCAACGGCATTTCTTTACTCGTTTTTCTGCAACATGTATTTAAATATTTAAATATTTTTAAATATTTTTCTTTAATACTCAAACTTTTTTCTTATTTTTCTTTTTATATTTATGAATTCTTACTATTTATAACTATTTATTTATGAATATTTTCTTTTCGCTCTTAACGAAATTTGTTATTTGAAGTGATTTAAAATTTTTTACGTAAACTCGTAAAGTTCTTTTCATCATTCTTCAACTTGTTTTTTGCGCATTATAAGTAAAAATTTCTTAACACCTGTCATTTCTCTCGTTTCGATCGCTCCACATAGTTTTCGGCCACACAAGGATTGCATGGCTTAAAATTAATATAAAATTTAATTTGCTTAAATTTGATGAAATCAGTTGAAGTCGACGAATTTTATGAATTCATTGATTATTAATGAAAAAATGGTTTGGTAGTGAAATAACCATATTATTTAAATAAAATCAAATTAAATTTTAAAAAACTAGCTAAGAGAAATAAAATTCTTCGATTCAGCCGGCTAATCTTTGGATTAATGGTTACTAATGGTTATTTTCATTAATAATTTGAATTTAGGAAGAAAGAAACTGAAATAAATTAAATGAATTACTTTCATAATCTGGCAGACTAATTTCATCTGAAGACGTTGGATATTCAACATTTTCGCCCGCATTTGTGCCAAATTTAAATAAATATGCGTGAACCTGCAAACATTTCTTCTTTCGTCATTTCGTTACAAAAATTAAATCAAAAATTAGTGTGCAACTTTGTTGCAGATAAGAATAACGAGAATTTCGGTAACTGTGCAGAAGTGGTGAATGAATTTAGTGCCGCATGTGGCTCATCGGTCTCCTTTTTTCGTGTTTCCAACACATTCCCAACAAGTGATCGCTGGCGGCGATTTATCCGTATTTCTATCGTCAAATGCCTCTCTTGCAAAATTTTTGTGGTCGCCTAAGTCAAGCGAAGCCAATATAATTAAAAAATGGTCGAAAAAAAAATCGAAGAAAAAGGTTGACAGAACGAATCTGCGTATTTCTTATATTTAATGCTGAATTTTCTCGTTGATTTCGTCAACTTTTTTCTAGCGCTTTCGCCACTTAAAATCTTTTTTAAAGAATTTTTAAATGATACGATTAAAATGGAGCAACAAAGTAACGTGAAAGTAACGTGAAAATATTCACGAGTTCCATTTACGACGAAGCACTACTAACAGTGATTTGCAGCTACAAGCATATGCAAATAAAACTGCGAATTTTTTCTCGTTAAATTTCATGGAACTTCTAAATTCTGTCGTTTAACAATTGAAACCTAGAAAAATCTGTCGTTTAACAATTGAAACCTAGAAAAATCGTCCCCCTTCTCTGATATATTAGATGTATTAGATGCCATAATTTTTCATTAAGTTTCATTGCCTTTCATTCCAATTTAGTTGTAAAAGAACAAAAATCTTAGATGATGAAATAGAATATAACGAATAAATTCCTTAATTCCAATATTCTCTGTTAATTATTAATTAATTCACGATTAATCTTTAAATTAGCTGAATTGGCCAAACACACATAGTT